CATTGTGCATGTGTACTGTATTACGACATTCGTTGCTTCCCGACACATTTGTAAAGTCTTTGGTTTCATTTTATTCGCGTCTTATTGTGCACGAAGTTCCCTTTAGTCCTTTCTATTTCGCTTGCTCGTTCATTCCTCGTTCGCGAGCATTCATGTAAAAACAAAACACATAAAAAAAACTAATACGAAAAGAAGGAAAGAAGAAGAAGAAGAAAAAAGAGAAAAGGAGTCCGCACTTAATGCCGGTCGATATCTTGTGTACAGTATCTAAAATATGTGTGTTTATATAGAAATGCGACCAATATTATGTACAAAAATACACATATTATGTGCGACGACATGTGCACACTCATTTTGCAACAAACACCGGCTTTTCGTTTTCTCATTCCTTATATATATATTTTACACGTTGTTTGTGAGTTTTTTTTTTCATTTTCTCCCTTTCTCTTCATCATTCTCATCAACGGTGTTGTTGTTGATGATGATGCTGATGCTGCTATTCTTATGTTGTTTTTGGTGTTTACATTTGAGCATATAAATATTTTTTTTTTGATTCCGTTAAATTTCGGTACAGCTGCTTTTGGGTTGCATCAAATTGATTCTGGCACCTTTCTTCCTTTTCGGTTTGATTTCGCTTTTCCTCCGTTGTGGCTTTGCTTATTTTTTTGACCTAATCACGTAATATTTCAGCCTGACTAACAGGTTCAATTGGATGTAAATAGGCCGGCATCAAGTGTCAGATATGTTTCTTATTATACTCTGTTAAGTCTACCAAGTACCGATATGAAACCATTAAGTAATAGAAAACGAGTATCCTGACCTTTTGACCCCCTTTAAAAACCAGCCCATTGAAAAACCAACCTTCACAATTTATTAGTTGAGTGCTTGCTTCTGCAGTCAATTTAATGAAAATACTTTTTTACGATTTTTTACAAATCGAGAGCAGAAAAAACAACACACACCATTGTGAAATATTGCCAAATTTATCAGCAGATTTCAATTTTCTACTGTGATATAATCTTTTTTTTCTCCACTACCACCACTACTGCTGTAAATAAAATGTAAAAACAAAATTCATTAACAAAAATGTAACATTTTATGGAAATTCAGCGATCAAATTACATTGAATAGATTAGGGTTTTCTCGCTCTATCTCTATCTCTCTGTTTCGGCCCATAAAATGTTTTTTATATTTATTTTTCGACCAAATTAAAAAAAAATCTGCAACCAAACGCATCGGATCATGTTTTTGCACATTGCATTTCTGGCGAAATGAGGATGAACAAAAAAAAAAACAAAAAGCGTATAGCCATTGGCTACATTTACGCAAGTACATAGTGCGAATGAGCAGAGAAAAAAGCGAAACTCGAAAATATAATTTATAACATTCTGCCATGTTTAATTTGGGTTTTTCTGTTTTTAAAATCAGTGACGCTAGCAAAAACAAAAATAATCGCCGATGTGGATGAAAAGCAAATAAAATACAAGCAGACAGAGAGAGAACGAATAGCAAACGAATGAATGCAAAAAAATGTTATGATTGAATTGATTTGTGCGCATACTTTCCTTCCTATCCGAACAAACAAAACTGTAAAATCAACGACCGTTTAGCCCTACCTAGTGTGAGAAGAGATATGAAATTGGTTGGATTCCTCTATAATTTCTCGTATTCTTTCGACTGAATCGATAATAAAAAAAAATATGGAGCCGATACTAAAAACGCTTTCCAACATGATACTTTGATATCACCTGCATTGCTGATGTTGGCCGCCACGATTGTCGTGTACATTTGTATGTATAATTTCATCGTGAAATAATAACGTTTTTATGTTTGACAGTTTGAAATGAAAACGAGAGACAGCCATTGACAATACAATATCATATATAATGAAAGAGCGAAAGACAAAAATAAATCTCCCTTCGAATAAAAAAAATTGGACAAAATTATTCGGTGCTTGAAATTGTTTGGCGTCGAATAAAAAGCGAATAAAATAAATCATAAAATCGTTTCTATATCATCGTATATCCTTACGCTCACGATGCTAACACAACAGTACATCGACAATCGACATTTTCACATGCATACAATCGCACCAGCCATACACATTGATACAGAGAAGATGTAACAATATCATTATTTTATTGGAATGTTAATGGCGTCGTTTTGTGTTGTTTTAATGCAGAAAATATATAACAAACGCGTATTTGTGCTCTTTACTCAAATGATAGATTCGAATTCGAATCGAACAAATTCATCGTCACGCTCATTCTTTTTCTCACTCACTCACTCTCTGGCTCGACTCTCTTACGTGTATGCCATCATCATCATTACCATCAACAATACCAACAGCAACAATATAGTCGTCAACAACACAGCAGCCATACTCATACGAAAATGTCATGGAAAAAGCAGAACATCGAGCACGGAATATGCCACCGACACTCTGCCATCCAAGCAGAATAGATTACGGTATTTCGGCATCGTGCTAGTTTCTATCACTCTCTGTCCCTTTCTCCAACATACACACAAACACATTCGTGTGCTTTCTCTTTCTCTGTAAGGGATTCAGTGTGCATGTTTCCATTTTGAAGCTTTGTGTCGGCGTTTTTGTGAGAGCTTTTTTTCCCGTTTTGTTCGATGTCAAAGGAGCATAGCTATAGTGAACAATTGTAACGGAGCAACGAACATACAAACGTATACCAAAATATTCTCGTGTCGGTGAACGTGCAAGCGGCTCCACCTCTTTGGCATGGTATTTTCTCTGCCAGTGCCATTGGTGGAAAATTATCGATCGCATCCTTACCAAAACCGATCACACTGCTACATACCGTTGTATATGGCGAAATGAATTCTGTATTGCTCTCGCTCTCTTTTGGCTTTTGATGTATGAGTACTGCGCTTTTCCATTTTGGTTTGATAATATGTATATGTTCGAATAATGTTGGAAACAATCGAATGAAAATTGAAAAAGAAAAAAGCTTCCAAGCCAAACAACGTACATCGATAACAAAAAGTTTTCGCATGCACAAATCGAAAAATAAAACAATGGCTGATGATGACGACAAAAACTAGATTGTTTTACACAATGGACACGGACAAACTACTATTAAATTTTTCTCAAATGCATAATGAGATAATAATTATCAGTCGAATGCTATACAATTATCGTACCATGATTTTAATGCGACCCGAATGCGATGTCTGTTTCAAGTCATCATCTTTTTTTCCCTTGTTCAATCAATCTTGATAAATGAACTAATGACACGGATAAGGAAACACCTTGCCGAGTTATCGACCATCGTTTAAGTGAAAATGCCATTGGAAATGTTTGTAACAGACAACGAGATACACAGCATTTCGATAATCGGTGGTGCATAATATGTATTCGAGAAATGCAAAAGTATGTTGCATTTCGGTGCATATCAAGTGCTTTTAATTTGAGAGTTTGTACACACGAAGATATTGGAATTGTAGGCTAGAAACTAGATCGTTTGCTGCATTGACAACGATGAGCAGGCAAGCTAAAAGTTTTTGAAACATTTGATATGCATTTGGATTATTCATAATGATAAGCATGCAAATCGAAGGCACATTTTATATAGTTGACGATGGCATTGCAGCTGGTTTTGCTGTTGTCCGAAATACAAAAGCACTCGGCCGCAACCCGAGATTGCTATAATAAAGAGGCACACACATACACACACACAACAATTTGATTCAAATCGATTTTGGAGCCATGCAAGCGAGAGAACATTCGACATAGAATCGCTTTTGTTGATGGCTGTATCAATTGTATGGCAATTATGTCGTGTCAGTTTCGTATACACACGCGCAACACAGAAATGCCAAACGACACACAATATGCATTGCAAATACTCTCGAATCGGTCTCGTTTTCTCTTTCTCTTTCTCTCTCTCTCTCACACAAGTTCACCTCTCACTCTCTTTACGAAGTTCTGTTTGTATGGTAAATAATCGAGAATTTTACGCGTCATTTTTCAACCGTATGCAATTTGTGCAGATTGGCCTATACAATCGTTCTCTTGCTATTCCATTATCATGTGTCCTCTTTCTTTCTCTTTTCACATTGCTTCTATCTTCATCCATATGTATGTGTGTAAATGTAGATGCATATGAATGTAATTTGCATTTTGATGTTGCCTGACTGCTGCAAAACCAATTTTCGGCCATCGATTCATAATTTATTAATAATAACATCAACATTGGTGAACAATGGTTCGATTCGTTCCATTGCATTCCAATGTGTGTATGTTTAGCTATAGAACGATTTACGACAACAAGAACGACAACAACCATAACAACAACACCAACAATGACGATGGAAGAGAGTTATGCAATCGTATCATCAATTAAATTTCATTCAAATGTGAATTGCCATGCATATTTTTCGATTGCATTTTAAATTATTTTTCGTTCTTTTTCTTTGTTTCACGTTTCGTTTTCTATTTGTTGCGATTTGGTATTGCTCTCTTGATTTTTGCTTTGACTTTTCATTTTAATATGATTGTAATAAGCGATGGCAAAATGCATTTTACCCGATAAGTCAATGAATAAATGACTTGGTTATTTCTTTGATTGTTCTCTATAATTCTTCGATGCAAAAACGATTTAGCGTATTGGAATACAAATGAAGCATATGCGCGAATAAAGAGACAACAACGACAAGGTTTTAAATGATGTTAACAATCTATAACGGTCCGTATTGTATGCGCGCGACGTTTGGAAAATTAAAACAAAATTTAAATTGAGAAAGGGAGAGAAAATATTCAAACAGAAACAAAAATGATGAGATCAATTGAGACTATATATATTCTCTTAATGTAGATCTGTGATGTATGACATTCTTAGTAGTCGATATTGAAAATTAGTTGAAGTAGAGCGATTTACAAAAACTGAATCTCTTTACAATTTCCTCCCTCTCATATTTCCTTCAAATAAAAAAAAACAACAACAAATCCGCACGAATTTGCCTGAATACAGAATGCGGCACGAATTCATCCATCAATGGGTTCGTATCCACCACCGCCTCCGCAACAAAATCAATCTGGCCAGTTGGGACCAGCAGGTGCAATGCAATATTCACCGTATCCACAACGATATCCAACGCCGCCAGGCAACGTGGCAACCGGAACCAATCATCGGCCCGCTTATCCGGCATCACATCAGGTAAATTAAAAATTTCATTTTTTTTCACTACATATTCAAACTAGAATATCGTTTTCGTTTATTACATACATGAGAATGGTGTTAAAAACAAGAGTAACTGATTTTAATGTATCGATATGTGTTTTCTGTTCATTTTAACAGTATCCTCCCGATCAATCGAGACCATGGCCACCACCGACGGGGCCAACAGCTCAAACGACACATGGACATGCACCACATCAACATCCACCATCACCTCAGCATCATGTCACCGCTCAAAGTCCAGTGCATGCACCAAGTCCATCGCCCCAACCGCCCCAACCATCTAATTCGCCGCATCAGGTAAACAAAACAAAAAAAAATACGAAACCAAATCCGTTTTATTAGTTTCTTCCCATTTGAAAAGAGGAAAAAACAGACTCTTTCTCATATACCCATGACACAAATGTTAATCGCAAGTCACGTGAATATTCCCGATTCGTAACGACAGGAACAAATGAATTATTTAAAAGGCAAACAAAACAAAAGCAAAAAAAAAAAAGAGAATGAGTGTACCCCGAGAAGCACGAGACAAAAGCGTACTGTAGAACGCACTGTGTTAAAAATGAAATGTAGAAAGTGAAAGGAGGACAGAGAAAGAGAAAAAAAAGTATACATCTCCGACGGATAGAACACATCTTATTATCATATCATATCGTATCGGCAGCACGCGTGTTTGTATACCGCATACCATCGAATTATATACTTGAAAAAAAAAAACATATGTTTTGCTCCTTTTTCCCGGTTGTTGTTGTTGGCGGTGTTGTTTCGTTTGTTTTTATTTTTATTTTATTTTTGCCGTGTATTTTTTTCCCTCCGTTTTCGATTTCTTTTAAATGGGCAATATTCCGTTCACACGCATTACATCACTTTTGTGTATAATCTGTATATTACATTATATATTCGATCCATTCCACATATATATATATATATTGGCGGTATATCAATGCAAAGAGATTGAGTGAGCAGAAAAGGAAATAACAAAAAACCATTACGGAGAAGCCGTAAATCGGCATAGAGTGTGTAGACGAACGACAACGATAAAACAATAACATTCTCAATGTGAATCGGTTTAGGAAGCGCCAATTGGCGGTTATACACTGAGAGCACATGACTCTGTTATTAATTTGGCAATTTGTTGTTCTTGCTCTTCGTTATTCTGTGCCGGGTATTCTTTTTTTTATTTCTATATTTCACTGCAATTTCAGTGAAACCGTTAGGCACATTTATCGAATCATTGACCATTTGCCGCTTTGATTTTATTCATTCTCATCTTTTGAAACTAACGTTTGTTGTATTCAATTGGAATTGTGCCATTTTTTAATGGGATTTTTTTTTCTCTTTTTTCCCATTGATTTGATGTGAACACCGACCGTTGTCGCTTGTCGACAATTTTGATTTCATTAAAAACCGTTCGACAAATGAGAGATACAATGTAATCTCAAAGTGATTACGTATTTCACGGACTTCATTTGCAATAACAATAAAAATCTATCTGTATAGACTGTATTTCCGAGAAGAAAACGTCAACAAATTCATTCCGTTATTTCATTTTGTGAATGAAGTGCGTCATTTTGTTTATTTTTTTTTTTATATATAAAGAGTTGTGTTATCGCCTTTGCATCTTGCCATTGACTTCGAATACGTTGCAACTGTAAATCTTATTTCGTCGCACATGTTTCTGACTCATGGTCTAAATAACATTTTTGTTTACATTTTGTTCCCAATTTCGACACACTTCGGAATTAAAACACCGGCTACTCACTGATGTAACCATATACAACAAACGCACACCCAATTTGTGATATCGTACCTTCCATTGAATAAGGTTTACGCACTATAAACGGTAACTGGGTACGCGAAAATTTCATGGAAAATTGAAATTGCGTTCATTGAAACAACGCCGATTTCAGAACACGTTCAATTTTCATTTCTCTAAAGCCGGTATATCTGGGTCTCACATTTTTTTACTTTGTATATTTACCACACACACACATGTATACAAAAATCCATATATTCGGCGAGTGCACACGAATGTGAGTCATGCGAATCATTCATAGAATCCGTTATAAATATTCCATTCATTAAGCATTTAAGTATAAATTATCCCTTTTGTGTATTTGCATCGTATTTAATGCTCGATGTCGATTGTGTGTCGCGTGAATGCGCGCGCGCTCATTCGCGATCTCTCTTTCTCCCTCTCTCTCGTCCGACGTATATGCGATAAAGAATTTTAATCGTCCAACGAATTGGGTCCGTTGCTGTTGTTGTTTTGATGTTAGCTGAGCTGTATTTTTAAAAATATTGTTGTCATTTAAGATCCAAACAACGTACCGCATTTGAATTTGGGCAATTTTCCAAGAAAGAAAACGAAAAAGATTTATATATACATCCAACAAATATAAATATGTAAAGATAGACATGAAAAATGCACAAAAAATGTTGTGTGTGTGTGTTTTTTTTTTTCGAAATGTACGCTGCGATATAATAGACAAGCAGATCTGGCTTGAGGTACGAGACTAGCATATTTGGTTGGCGAGAGCGTGTTTTGAACGAAAACCCATTTTTCGCATTGCGTATGCATGGCTAAAGTATGTTTTATGTGGCATTCGTTGTTGGTGCTTCCTTTTTGTGCTTTGGTTTTGTAATGAATGTTTATTGCTTGACGTGGGCGCTCTAGTTACAAGCACATGGCACATAAATTGAACGATGATGACGATGCCGACGGAATAGAGGCGAACAACGACACAAAAAAAAACCGTGTTGAATTGGTAAACAATTAGGCAACGTGTTAGTGTTATCAAAAATGCATACGCTTGTCACATGAAATAGTGTACCATGTTTTATCTTCGTGTCCGCATTATGAACTCAATCATCAAAAATCGTTCGAACCACATTTTTTTTCTCGCTCGTAACACATCGTTCAAATTAGAATTTTATCTTTGATAGTCGTATCATGCATCATATTTCAATTTAAATAGAAAAGCGAGAAATAGAGAGAAAGATGAGCGTAGAAAAAGAAGAAAACAAGTAAATATTAATTGGAAGTACGATATGGTCGTATGCAATATATATGACTGAATTGAGCATATGCAGTTGATTTTTGATGTTACTGTAAATCTATGCACATTTTAGCACGTGTATATTGAGCCAAAAACGTTGTTTTGCATTAATTCCATGATCATGCATCTTTGCATACATTTTGCATCGACATGATTTCGTGTCTGTGTATGTGTCGGTTCACTGTTCAGTTCATCGATGGTTCACATTCCATCTGACTTCAGTTGAATAGTACCAACCAAAACTAAAGCAAAATTTGCATTTATTAAAAGCATGAGCTTACCATCCGTATATCGTTCACATCGCTATTTGGCAGGGTCATCGTAGGTGTATATTTATATTTTATGTAAACATTTTCTTTGGCAATATATGAGAGAAGCAAAACTAAAAGACGCACAAAGCCAAAGCACAACTGCAACCCAAATGGAATGCGCGCCAAATTGCTAAACTCTCTCACTCATATCCTTCCATCTCTCTCTCTCTCCCTCGTTCTCTCTTTCGTTCCATCTTTTATTCGTGTTTTCGGTTTGTAAATTTATTGCGAGACAAAGTTTGCACAGTCTTAGCGACCATAGAAACGCAGCTGAAAATCCTTATCGTTGAATACATGTATGCACCGCAAAAAGTGGAATCCATTCATTCCAATGTTGGCATAAAGATAAACACACGGTGATCCTTTAACATATAAAATTCATAAACACGCTCATTCAAAGTCATTCAATCCAAAACGACCTAAAATATATTTCTCGTATTTAAAGTGAAATGCAACAGCAAAACACATTTTGCATGCGTTCTTTGCACTGTAGCCAGCACTCATAAGATAAATAAATAAAATACCAACAATCCGATCGGTCGCTCCTTTACTTTGTCGCTGATTTTTCTTGCTGATGTTGTTGTTTTATTTTTCATGTATTTCTTTGCACTTTTGATACAGAGTAGAAACAAAAAAAGAAACAACAACAACAACAACAACTAAGCGGAATCAACAACCATAGAATCGCCAAATCAAAATGCAAACACATGAGCGCACATTTTCTACTCCACTTTCCAAAGTGATGCGTACGTGCACAAACAAAATACACGGTCTTAATCTTTATCACAATGTTTTTCTTTCTCTCTCTCGCTCTCTCGATGTTCGCATTGCTGCCAGTTTAAAATCGCTATACTTACTATAGTGTTGTTATGTCTTGCTGGATTGCGATTATCCGCACATCACAATTTCTCGTGATTATGCGAAAATGTGCCCTCCGAAAATGAGAAGAGAAGAAAAAAAAATAAACCGAAAACGAAACAGAAAAAACTTTTCTTTTCATTCAAGCTGTACATGCCCCATAGCGGCACCAACAACAAACTCTCTGTTACACACAAACGGAAATGTAAACATTGTAAAATAGTTCTGACGTATGCGAATTCTCAAATGAAACTCTGTATTTTCCGACGCAGCATTTCACAAATCGGTTTACCGGCGTTTCGTTTTTTATATGTATGTTTTCGATTCCGAAAGCATTAGTCGTTCCGATTAATTGATCTCAACTCTTTTTCGCGTGGAATAATTAACAAAAAAAAACCGGAGTTCGATAAACGATATACGGGAACCGTACAAAAGTAATAACAGCACGAAAACGCTCCCAAATTATATTGGCGAAGGTGGTGGTGGTGGTGCTGCTGCTGTTGTTGACGTCGTTGGTCGTCATCGTCAACATTGCATGCATGGACTGTTTAGACGTAATTACAGAAAACTGAATAGAGATCAAGTTGCGGCGTTTCGCTTCAGTGAAACGAAAAGTGCATACCAAATTGCATGCAGAAATAGTGAGAGCGAGAGAATGAGAGTGCACAAAGTCAAAGTCGAACATACACACACACACACAAAATACTGTCAATGGGACCGCATTCAAAGCATGAGCCGATTATTTATGTATTATTTAAAAAAAAAACTGTTTACCAATGTCGCGTGCTTGCAACAGACCAACATTTTGTTGGCTTTCTAGGAACGCAATTTGGTGCCGGTGCGAGAGAATGTGTGTGCTTACCGCCGGTGTTTTTTTCCTTCCTTCTCAAAACTACAGTTCAAGTGACATCATTTTTGAATTAATGATTTTATTAGCATTTTACTGAATGCCAAATATACGATTCAAGAAATGATATTCTTTTTTTCGTGTATTTCATGCAGGTAGTTTACGATAATTCTATTATTAAAGAGAAATGTCGTATGTTCACGCTTTTTTTCCACGTAACCATGC